CTGTCTTAACAGCCACGAGAGGGTTCATCAAGAAATTGTAAGGAAACGTTATTGAGGTTATTTAAAATTTGGTACAAGATAGCTGGAACCAGATCTTAGCTAAGACAGACATCTGTCTCTCACAAAATATACTTTGAGCAGAAGCGCAGCAGCCCCATCAATCTCCTCAGAATGCAAACTCAAATAAACCCCTCTCTGTCAAATAACAAGTCAGGAAAACCTGACAGAAAGATAATAGTGACATTTAGTTTGCAATTTCCAGTCTGAGCCAAGAGGGGTGTTTTGAAGAATAGAAGTTTTAAAGCACTCTAGCTTTCAAATACACCAGACACCACCAATTTAGCAATATTTCTGTGTTGATACCAGCTCAGACTCACATGAGCTACTGAGGATCTCAGCTGTTGTTCTAAGTTACCTTTGAATTAATCTGCTGAAAGTGCAGATCCTTCTGGTGTATCTCCTGAAGACAGCGCTGCAGGTCATCTTGAAGCTGATTCTTCTCAGCTAAGACACGTTTGATTTCCTCCGGCGTATCTGCACTTCCAGCGAGGTAGGCAGTTTCTAAAGCCTTACAAAGTATTAGCACACTCAGGGTAAATGCTACAGGAGTTCTCTAAATAATACACAACTCTAAATAACATACATATGGACTACATCATCATTTCCTCTTCACAAGAGGAAACTACAAAACATCCGAAAAAAATGTTTGCATTACCTGAAAGAGCACATCCTGTTACCAGTTTTGTATTTGTCACTGAATGTCCCCTATGCCGGAGACTTCTCACAAGTGAGAGCGTAGATTCTCATTTCACTTACATCCCACAGTACTATTAGGTCGGGTTTTTTCCCTCTCATTTATTTCTTTCTAAACGATCCAAATCTTTTCTGAATTTTCTTCTTAGAAGTTTCTCTATACCACGCTTTCCACCTACCTCCTTTGAAACTTGTTTTGGTATTGCAGTGCAATACTTCTGTGAAGCTGAGGTGAAGCGCACTACAAATTACTCACACTCAAGAATTACATTTTCTGTGCCACTTTTCCTACTATTTCTTCAACATCCAAATAGCTTATTTGATTTAGACTGGGTTTCTAAAAATACAATATATGCAAGTCATCTTGTTTGTCTATCTGTTCCCCCAATAACATTGGCATCAGCTAGCCAATTCCAAAACTGGATTTAAAAGAAAGTTCCTGTTTTAAAAAAATGATGATGGTTCTATACTTTGTATAATAATCATTGAACTGAAGGAGACAGATCCAACTTAACACTACCTATTGAGAGACAAAGAAATAGGTACAACACAGCTGTAGAACAGGCTGTCTGGCAGGTGATTAAGTCAATCAGCATGCAAGGACTCGGTGACAATAAATACACTGTTGGCATCCTACAAGTAACCGTTCAGTATCCTATTCCCCTCTGAACAAGTGAGTTACAGAAACAACCAACGGCCCTGGTGTTACAATAGTGTGAATAGTAAGAGACTCGTGACAGATATGAAATTGGCACAAGAAGCCAGAATTATATTCCCACTTACGGACATAACATGTTTCATCTCAGCTACCACATGAGAAGAATTCCTCCTTCAGTCGCCTGAGAGTTCCCTATCCTCTTCTCAATTTGAAAGAATTAACTGAGAAACCTGTAAATTGCACTAGTTTTTATCCCCTTCTGGTACATGTCTTTATTTATCAGTACCAGGTCTGCCGTTGAACCATGTTTAAACCTTTTTTTTTTTTTAATTATTCTTTTAAATTCTTCATATTCTGGATTTAGCCAGCCTAAATTAGTAATTTATAAAATTACTTATGTAATCTACTAAAATTAGCAACTCAGCCACAGGCAAATACCATTACCTCACAATGCAACCATGGCAAATCGTTACCTCTTTTTGACTAAGAATCAGTAACCATTATTGGATCATGACCTTCACCTTTTGCTTCACAACCATTTCATTTCTTTATGAAGGTACTTTCCATGTTTTTATCCACTAAAATACCCCATACCAGCAAGTTTTCGCTGTTATTCTATCAACATATGAGAAACTCACTATTTTTCTTTGTTTAAAAGAAGTTGATCAATGTATCAGACTCCATGAAAAAGTTGTTTTAACAATTGCAACTCATTTGCTTGGAACAGTTCTAACTTGCTGATTTGACCCCAGGCAACACTGACATACAGGTAATGCACTCATCAGCCTTCCATGCTTCGCTATCATATGCTGGATAGTTCTCCTTTGGGAAGGAGGCTGCAAATTAATGCAATAGACTGATGAAATCAGATTCGTGCCTCCTGCTACATTTCATTTGTTTACCTTGTCTGCATAACCGCTTCCAGCGGAGACAGATTTCTTCACAATCATGTCTTGTTGCATCTTCTGTAGTTCTGCAATCTGTCGGTCTTTCTCAGCAACTGTGATTTGACACTGATTTCGCAGTGCCTGGGACTCCGAGAGGAGGAGGTTTTTTTCCATTCTGAACATAAAATATTAGACCAGATGTTAAACGATGATACACTACATACAACTCCAGGAAAAGGATAAAGCTGTATTCACTGGTATTTCTGAAATAAATAATGATCTTCTTGAACAGTTATATGCAAATATGGAGCAATATATAAACGTTCCCAATACCTACTTCAGTTTAAAGACATCTGCTAAAAAAAATATAAATCAGAAAATAAGGCCTGGAAAGTGCTAATATCACAGTTACTATTTTGGCTTGGAGATGAGAGAAATTAATTGGCTGTAAATATATTAACATCTCTTAACGCAATAAATACTTCAGCTACCTAAAGAATAAGGTTGTGCAACTCCAGGTCGCAGTTGCACGGAGCGCTGCTCAAGATACCCAGTCTACCCTATTGTAAGTACACAGGTTTGAAAAAGAATACCCCAGTCTCAGAAGACCAAAGTAAACAAACATGCCACATCTCCAGAAACCGCTGGCATAGACAGGGAATGCCATAAAGGGCGTAAAAGTAATTTAAATCCTTTTGAATTCAATTTAACGTATGTTTTTAAAGTCTGTGAAACCATGGAAAAAGGCTATTCATGCTGTTCACTGGTGAAGTCTGCAGGTTAGAATGAGGTTTGAATATTTCATGCTAACTTGCTCACATTTGCAAAAACCAATGTGCGGCTGGCCTTTTGCTCTACACCCCCTCTCCCAAGAGCTTCTAGCATAAAACAGGTATTATCCGACACAGACTTTAATTGGAGATCCAGAAATTTGCACTACGGACAATAAAATGCAGGAAGGCACCAGGATACTGCCCACTGGCCTCAAATTCAAACAAGATTATCATCACTGAACTGATCGTGACATGCTTTCGCATTTCAATCATCTGTACAAGTTTAAAAGCTTGAAGGAGAACAGCAGCCTAACGTGACCAAATCTTGATCTGCCTCCACTGAATGCCACTTCAAAACGCTCACTGCCTTCTCTGAAGCAGATCTCATGAGGCACTCGCAGAATTAGGCCCAAGGTGTCGCATTATCCATTTGTCACAGATGATGCAAGATGTGAACAGTGCTGAAGTGGACTCATCAATCTACAAAAATAATGCTCGAATGTAAAATGAATTGAATTTTCAATACGCAGTTGGGCAAAATATGCAACACCTCAGACACCTTTGAAAAAAGACACTGGGGGCAGGGGGAAATGTTCACCCATATCTTGCTCTAAGAAGAGAATATGATACCAAGCACTGAAATAAGATTCTTAAACTGTAGTACCATATATCCAAGTCAACAACAGAACAGAAAACATTCAATTAAGACTGCTTGAAACTTTACGTAAACAAAGAGACCGTTACGTAAAGACACAAGGATAACCACAAACAAAGACAACTCCGTGGATTTCACACATTACAGAAATATTCTTACCCTACGTCCTTCTAAATGATACATAATTTTGGGTTTGTGTCAGCTCTATGTCAAGCTGTGTAGTCACTGAAGAATTCTAAACAAGAGCCACATGTATTATTTGTTAATTTTAACATTATACCTTAATCCAGCAAGCTCATCCTGGTATGCTGCAATCTCTCTCTCAGTTTCTGCTTGGAAGGCCTTTGTCTGATGCAATGTCTTCTCCAAATCATCAACTTTGGTCTTCAGCTTTGCTATTTCAACAGCTGCAAGGCTGCTTCCTTCTTTAGCCTATGTTCAATAAGCATGATTAGTGAACTGGAATGAAAACTATGCGATTGAAGTTTTATTAGTGCTAGAATTCTAATTACAGAACAATGTTTTCTCCCCATTTGCTCCTGTTTAACAGGATAATCACCTAAACTATCAAAATTGTAAGAACTCACATAATTTACAAAGTTAAACTTCAGAATCCATAATGCATGTAAGCACTCTCTGCATTACAAAAAAAAGAAAAATTACAAAGTGATATAGCTAATTCAAACTTACCAATCTTTCCC